ATATATATATATATATTATATATATTATATATATATATATATATATATATATATATATATATATATATATATATATATATATATATATATATATATATATATATAATATATATATATATATATATATATATATATATATATATATATATATATATATATTCATATACATACACACACATGTCCACACTGTCACATGTATTGACCCTATTTTTGTCTCCGGCAGAAAAAGGCAAACCCAACAGAAGCTGCAAAGTTCCTAAACTTGGTTACCTTTGCAATCTAACCCCGACGGAGATTCCAGTAACAAGATTTCCTCTGAGCCGGAAAAAAAAGTCCTTTTATGTGCATACACGAACAGAATCTCGGCTTTTTTTTTTTTTTCTTACTGTGTCTCTGTCTGCTTGCTTGGTGCTTTAATTATCGCTGTCTGTTTGGTGCTTTAATTATCTCTATCTCTGTCTGCTTGGTGCTTTAATTATCTCTCTGTCTGCTTGGTGCTTTAATTATCTCTCTGTCTGCTTGGTGCTTTAATTATCTCTCTGTTTGCTTGGTGCTTTAATTATCTCTCTGTTGATTTCTATACTTACAGTATTTCCTTGATATGTATGTGATTCTATTATCACTGATTTCTTTCGAAAGTTTTGTCTGTTTTATCTATACGTATTCTTTCTCTTTCTCTGTCTGTCTGTCTCTCTCTCTCTCTCTTTTTCTCTCTCTCTCGCTCTCTCGCTCTCTCTCTCTCTCTCTCTCTTTCTCTTTCTCTTTCTCTCTCTCTCTCTCTCTCTCTCTCTTTCTTTCTTCTCTCCCCCTCCCCTTCTCTCTCTCTCTCTTCTTTCTTTTCTCTCCCCCGCCCTTCTCTCTCTCTCTATCTATCTATCTATCTATATCTGTTCTTTCTATCTACACATCAATCTATCTGGCCCGCGTCACCAAGACAGTACACAAAATCACTTTTGCGAAGACGAAAACCAATGAGACAACGCTGATTGAAACTCCAACCCCCAAATACGTTTACCTCGGGAGGAGAAACCGCCTCATGCAACCCCGAAGACCATGACCAAGGAATCAAGAAGCAGACCAAACTCCCTGATTCAAACCGCAACACGAATACAAAATCGGTCTTTGAGTTTGTCTTACCTGCAGGCGGAGAGTTGCAGCTGGTACGAACAACAGTCTTGGATGTTGTCTTGAGTTTTACCCTTTTTTTTATTTTTTTTTCTTCTTGTCTTTCAACGTTATTCGTGGCTCCTAGAGTTTTATCCCTTTTTTTTAATTCCTTTTCTCTTCTTGTCTTTCAACGTTATTCGTGGCTCCTAGAGTTTTACCTTTTTTTTTTAATTCCTTTTCTCTTCTTGTCCTTTAACGTTATTCGTGGCTCCTAGAGTTTTACCCTTTTTTTAAATTCCTTTTCGCTTCTTGTCTTTCAACGTTATTCGTGGCTCCTAGAAGTGCGAATTTCTTTCTCTTTTTGTTTTTCAACGTTGTTCGTGGCTCCTAAATGTGAGAATGTTTCTACGGATCATATGAGTTATTTACAGAATATTAGTTACTTAAGAAGTATTAGCAAGTGAGGATATGCACAAGCAAAACGTAACGCACGGCGGTATTTTACCCTCAGTGGAGCTCAAATTCTCATTTGCATAAAGTTATCAGTATTCAAATGGAGATGTAAAGAAAACAAACCATGGAAAAAGAAACATGATTTTAACCATTCTCACAAAATTCGTTTTTTTTTTTTTTTTTTTTTTTTTTTTTGATATATGCCAGTAATATATACAAAGACGGCTACTATTTTTTTTCAATTTGGGTTTCAACTCATGTATGTAACCCTATAACCTTCACCGTAAGTGATAATTTTAGTAATGTACCTATAAGAATAAAAAAAAAATCTGGATAAGTTTAATCCCTATCATTTTGGACACATCCTTTGGAGTTTCATTAACGGATTAAGATATTTTAGGGAGCAACAGTCCCCTTTCACATCCTTCTTAAAAAACGAAAAAAATAATACATGTAATAATTATTCGACCTTATAAATCAAAGCCAATGCTAATCTTTCCTGTGATCTGTTGGAATAATACTGGATCCCCGTTGCTCTAGCTTTAGTATCCAGTGAAACGATATTATAAAATTACAATCATACTTTTAGCCATTGTTAATATACGTCATACTCGACCACACACGCCTCTGCCTATATTTTTACATACTACCACTGAAAAAAAAACTTTCAGAAGAGTTTATCTAAGTGGTTCTTCGGGCAAAGAAACGAATATTAACCGATAATTAGTTTGTGCGAAATAGTCGCTATGGATGAGCCTACATTTTAGCATTAACGAAAATCAACGCTCCAGTCCCGACTGTATATAATTTCTGCTAATTATTTAATCGGCTAATAGGCCATGGCTTTGAACACGGATTTATAGTGTAATTATGGACATCTGTTCAGCTGGAAAAAATGCGAATTATGTTTTTTTTTTTTTTTCTACAATGATAGATAACCCGTACTACATACATATCCAGTGCTGGTGAATTCGTAAATAGGGCCAAGTCATACACGGCAAATTAGTGTGTAAATAACCATACAAACGGTTGTCTCTATCTGGCTGTCTCTCTGTCGTTGTCTTTGTCTCTCTGTCCTCCTCAAATTTTCTATCTCTGTCTCTGTCTCTCATTCTCTCTCTGTCTCTCTGTCTGTCTGACTGTCTCTCTCTCGCTTTATATGAATCAATAAAAAAAAAATATATATATACACACATAAATACACAAACACACACACACACATACACACACACACACACACACACACACACACACACACACACACACACACACACACATATATATATATATATATATATAAATATATATAATATATATATATATATATATATATTATATATATATCATATATATATGTATATATATACATATATATATTTTTTACTATTGACGACGTGTGCTGGAGGACCATCAGCCATATTGCCTTTCTTCTTGTTAATAAAAGTTGTCAGTTTAATATGGGAGACATATATAAGAAAGGCCTTTTGGCACAAAGGAAAAGACGAAGGGAATTCTAGGTAATGGAATGACGATGGGAAATGTAATATTGAAACTACACCCTGCAATGCCTTATCATATAAACATATATCGCACTATGATATATGATATATATATATATATATATATATTATATATATATATATATATATATATATATATATATATGTATATATGTGTGTGTGTGTGTGTGTGGTGTGTGTGTGTGTGTGTGTGTGTGTGTGTGTGTGTGTGTCTGTATGTGTGTGTGTGTGTGTGTGTGTAAAATACATATATATATATATATATATATATATATATTATATATATATTATATATATATAAACGTTATTAATATTTTCTTTGTTTGTCACCATTACTTAACCCAAATGTTCCGGTCGTCGGCTTATGCCGACGGCCGGCAAATACATATTTTTCCGGGCGTCGGCATGAGCCGACGATGATCTTCGACGGGTTCAGGACGGGACCGACCTGCCGTCGGCCATAGCCGACGGCGAAATTTTATCCTCGGCGTTCACATGGAGATGTGTTATCCCCCCTCCCTTCCCCCACTGCCGTACATGACAAAAGTTTCTTTTTTTTCTAACTGCAATTCACTAATCCGTGTGTTAGCAATAAGATCAGCTTCTCACCCTCCTCCCCACTGGCCCACCTGCAGGAGGGGAGGGAAGACCTCGGAGAGGAGTGGTGCTTAGCGCATTATGCCGTCACGGTCATTGACAATCAAAATTACCTGCTTTGACCAGTTATGTGACCTCTGTCAGGTGAGGCGCGTCCTACCTTTCCATATTCTGCTAAAAAGAATAAAAAGATAAAAATTGAAGCTATGGGGGAAAGGAGGCGGGGACACATCGGGAATCAGGGATGGTACGCACCAGGTGGGACGGAGAGGGAAGGGGGGAGGGAGGACCTCGGGATGTAGGAGGGGCGGGTTAGCATTAGGGGGGTCTGTGGGGGAGGGGAGAGGGAAGACCACGGGTAGGGTGACCCACGTTGACCAATGGCCAGGTGGGACGGAGAGGGAAGGGGTCACGTGACCTCTTGTCAGGTGGGGCAAAGGGGGAGGGAAGACCTCTGGCTGGAGGGGCCTCGCACCAGGTGGGACGGAGAGGGAAGGGGTCACGTGACATCTTGTCACGTGACCTCTTGTCAGGTGGGGCAAAGGGGGAGAGGGGGAGGGAAGACCTCTGGCTGGAGGGGCCTACCACCACCCCCTTCTTCCCGAGGTTTCACCTTCCCCCTCCCCCATAGCCCCAACTGACAAGAGGTCACGTAATTGGTCAACGTGGGTCATTCTGATTGGTCAATGACCGTGAAGGCGGGAGCAGAAAGTCTATAAATAGGGGGGAGGAGGGTAATTTTTTCATTCCAGGCCAGATCGATCTTCTGATAGCATATTGAAAATGTCCCGCCAACTACGAACCCAACGCTGCCGCTCGTCAAAGTAAGAATAATGATGAATAATGCTAACATGGTTATTTGGTGTAATGTATATACTTTTCTTTTCTTTTTATGCCTTTTTACTTCTTTTTTGAGATTCTAACTTTGTTTTTATTCTACAGGTACTCGCATGCCGTAAGGAACCTTTACGACTCCGACCCTGACGACCCCAGACCATCAACTTCGGGAGAGGGCCCGAGACGGTTGAGGAATGCTCCGGAGTCTCACTTCTACCTCTATGAGACCGCGTCTGGTCGAGGAGAGATGAGGGAGGCTCTCGACTCCTCAGCCCAACCTGCCAACTCTGGACGATCCACCGCCATTCCCAACATCCCAGACTCCGACTGGGATATGGATGTTGACGATTCTGACGACGATGCCGACTACTCGCCGGAGGCAACGGAGAGCGCGACGCCGACTGGGAGGAGTTTGATTACGTGTCGTCGCATGACACGTCCATCGACTCCGACGAGCCGTTGTCAGCTGTTGCACGTCGGTTTGCTATGAGGAACGCTCCAGGGACTCCGGGTTTCGTCTGGAAGAAGAAGAGGCCTTTCGTGCGCCGTCACCCCTTCCAGGGCGTCCCAGGGGTCGAAGAAGCATGCCTCCTGCATGCCGACTCGACGGCAAGAGAGATCTTGGACTGCTTCCTGACACCGGAATTGTGGGACACTATGACGAGGGAGACCAACCGGTATGTGGAGCAGAGGCCGGTCACCCCATCTTCACACATGAAGACTTGGGAGAATACGACTGTGGAGGAGCTGCAGTCATTCATTGGCCTCCGCCTGCTCATGGGCCTGCAGCCGCGACCGCATTCGCGGTATTATTGGTCGAAGAACCGGTTGCTTTCCTCGTCTGTGTTCCCTGAAACGATGACCAGGGATAGATTTGATTTACTGCAAAGTCGGCTTCACTTCTCGGACAACGAGGACCCCCGTGCCGACACCGACCGTCTGTGGAAGCTGCGACCGGTGTTGGATATCCTCGATACGACGTTCAAGACGGTCTATATCCCTGACAGGAAAATCGTGGTTGATGAGTCGCTGTGGGCGTTCAGGGGACGTCACCACGCGATTCAATTCAACCCGACGAAGAGGGCGCGGTTCGGGATGAAGGTATATCGCCTGTGCGAGAGTGATGGTGCTGGTGCTGGCTACACCAGTGCCTTCAATGTCTACATGGGCCAGGACCGCGGCGACGTACCTGCCAGCATGAAGGCTGTGACCGACCTCATGAACCGCGCCTGCTTCTTCGAGAAGGGTTACGAGCTGTACTTGGACAACTGGTACAGCTCCCCGGAACTTTTCCATTACCTGTCATCAAGGAAGACGAACGCCGTGGGAACAGTTCGGCTGAACCGCAAGTTCATGCCGAAGGACCTCAAGGTGAGCGCCCGCGGCGACGTCGACTTCCGGACTTCGGCGACGGGGATGTTGGCTATGTCTTGGATGGATCGGAAGCCGGTGCATATGCTTTCTACCATCCACGGCCCAGACATGGTTGACCTGCCCCCAAACCGCCGTGGTATAGTCGGACGAAGCCCCAAGCCGTCGTTGACTACAACGTGGGGAAGAAGGGGGTAGACCTTGCCGATCAGTTGGCCGCGTCGTACTCCACAACCAGACGAACTAACAAGTGGTACCAGAATGTGTTTTACCACTTGCTCGACATGGCGGTGAATGCTTTCGTGGTTCACAGGGCGTTGGGTGGCACCCTGACCCAGCTTGAGTTCCGCCTGGAGATCATAGCTAACTTCCTCGATCAACCTCCGGCCTACGGGAGAAGGGGTGGCCTTCGGACGCCTCCTGCTGCCACCCCATCGCCTCCTCGCCGCCGGAACGCCCCACGTCAGCAGCAGCGCCAGCAGGTACCACAGGGCCACGTCCTGGCTTTCAATCCAGGGCGAAAGTACCGCCGGTGTCGTCACTGCCGAGTAAGCCGCAACGTGAGGAAGGAGACGCGCTACAGGTGTGGCAGGTGTGATGTCTCACTGTGCCCGGCAGATTGCTTCAATCTGTGGCACAGCCCCCTGTAGCGAGGATGCGGCATCACCCACCTCCGATAGCAGCAGGCTATTTTTCGAAACAGCGCAGGAAGATCCACGACGCCACATCCAGTGGCAAAAGGAAGATCCATGACGCTGCCTCCAGCAGCAGGAGGACCCCTCACGCCGCCTCCAGCAGCAGGAGGATCTCTCACGCCGCCACCAGCAGCAGAAGGACCTCTCACCAGCAGCAGAAGGACCTCTCACGCCGCCTCCAGCAGCAGGATGATCTCTCACGCCGCCAACAGCAGCAGAAGGACTCTGACCTCTCACGCCGCCTCCAGCAGCAGGATGATCTCTCACGCCGCCAACAGCAGCAGAAGGACCTCTCACGCCGCCACCAGCAGCAGAAGGACCTCTCAGCCTCTCACGCTGCCACCAGCAGTGGAAGGGCCTCTCACGCCGCCTCCAGCAGCAGGATGATCTCTCACGCCGCCACCAGCAGCAGAAGGACCTCTCACACCAGCAGCAGAAGGACCTCTCACGCCGCCTCCAGCAGCAGGATGATCTCTCACGCCGCCACCAGCAGCAGAAGGACCTCTTACGCCGCCACCAGCAGCAGAAGGACCTCTCACGCCGCCACCTGCAGCAGAAGGACCTCTCACGCCGCCACCAGCAGTGGAAGGACCTCTCACGCCGCCTCCAGCAGCAGGATGATCTCTCATTCTCACGCCGCCACCAGCAGCAGAAGGACCTATCACGCCGCCACCAGCAGCCTCTCACGCCGCCACCAGCAGCAGAAGGACCTCTCACGCCGCCACCAGCAGTGGAAGGACCTCTCACAGCAGCAGGATGATCTCTCACGCCGGCAGCGACCTCTCACGCCGCAGCAGCAGAAGGACCTCTCACGCCGCCACCAGCAGTGGAAGGACCTCTCACGCCGCCACCAGCAGCAGAAGGACCTCTCACGCCGCCACCAGCAGTAGAAGGACCCCTCACGCCGCCACAAGCAGCAGGTGTGATGTCTCATTGTGCCCGGCAGATTGCTTCAATCTATGGCACAGCCCCCTGTAGCGAGGATGCAGCATCACCCATCTCTCCGATAGCAGCAGGCTATCGTTTTCGAAACAGCGTAGGAAGATCCACGACGCCACATCCAGTGGCAAAAGGAAGATCCATGACGCTGCCTCCAGCAGCAGGAGGACCCCTCACGCCGCCTCCAGCAGCAGGAGGATCTCTCACGCCGCCACCAGCAGCAGAAGGACCTCTCACGCCGCCTCCAGCAGCAGAAGGACCTCTCACGCCCTCCAGCAGCAGGAGGATCTCTCACGTCGCCACCAGCAGCAGAAGGACCTCTCAGCCACCAGCAGCAGAAGGACCTCTCACGCCGCAGCAGGACCTCTGTGAAGGACCTCTCACGCCGCCACCAGCAGCAGAAGACCTCTGCAGAAGGACCCACCACCAGCAGCAGAAGGACTCTCACGCCGCCACCAGCAGCCTCTCACGCCGCCACCAGCAGCAGAAGGACCTCTCACGCCGCCACCAGCAGCATAAGGACCTCTCACGCCACCAGCAGCAGAAGGACCTATCACGCCACCACCAGCAGCACCACCAGCAGCAGAAGGACCTCTCACGCCGCCACCAGCAGCAGAAGGACCTCTCACGCCGCCTCCAGCAGCAGAAGGACCTCTCATGCCGCCTCCAGCAGCAGAAGGATCTCTACCAGCAGCAGAAGGACCTCTCACACCGCCACCAGCAGCAGAAGGACCTCTCACGCCGCCTCCAGCAGCAGGAGGATCTCTCACGCCGCCACCAGCAGCAGAAGGACCTCTCACGCCGCCACCAGCAGCAGAAGGACCTCTCACGCCGCCACCAGCAGAAGGACCTCTCAGCAGCAGCCTCTCACGCCGCCACCTCTCACGCCGCCACCAGCAGAAGGTTCTTCTCATGTCAGCAGCAGAAGGACCTCTCACACCAGCAGTGGAAGGACCTCACCTCCAGCAGCAGGAGGATCTCTCTCTCTTAGTAGCAACAGGCTACCTCTGCTCCTTCCAATAGTAGTTCAATAAAAACAAATAAACAAACAAACAAAAATCTATGGTTTCCATCTCCAAATTCCATAGTCTGAAACCATGAATTTTGAAGCCATAAAGCAATAATTGATGTTCATATTTTTCAGAGAAACATTATTTTCAAGAGTATGAACTCTGAATTACAAGATGAACATATAAATTTACAAAAAAAAAAACAAAGCCAGTTTGCGTCCACACTTCTCCAAAGTTGTCCTTTTGAACAATAACAATAACAGAATTACAATAACAGAAAATAATTTCTGAAATTATTCTGAAATGCATGGACAAAATGACCTGAAAACAGCCGCTCTGCGTGAGCTAAAGGCGAAACCGCGGACGGCTCATTAAATCAGATATAACTCATTGGATCTCTGCTGAACCGCATTACTTGGATAACTGTGGTAATTCTAGAGCTAATACATGCCTTTGTAGTCTCCGACCGCGAGGGAGGAGCGCTTTTATTAGACAAAAACCCTCGGCAGCCCGTTCCCGCAAGGGGCCGGCCGCACACATCTTGGTGAATCAGAATAACTTTTGCCGAGCGCACGACCCCTCCCGTAACCCGGGTTGGGTCGGCGCCGCGTCCTGCAGGCGTCTGCCTTATCAGCTCTCGATTGTAGGTTAAACGCCTACATGGCTATCACGGGTAACGGGGAATCAGGGTTCGATTCCGGAGAGGGAGCCTGAGAAACGGCTACCACATCTAAGGAAGGCAGCAGGCGCGCAAATTACCCACTCCCGGCACGGGGAGGTAGTGACGAAAAATACTGTTGCGAGCCCCGAACGGGGCCTCGCAATTGGAATGAGTACACTTTAAATCCTTGTACGAGGATCGAGTGGAGGGCAAGTCTGGTGCCAGCCGCCGCGGTAATTCCAGCTCCACTAGCGTATATTAAAGTTGTTGCGGTTGAAACGCTCGTAGTTTGACTTCTGCTCCGGACCGGCCGGGAAACCCTGGTGGAGGTCCGAAGCGTTTCTAACGTGCAAATCGATCGCCAGAGCTGAGTATAGGGGCGAAAGACCAATCCAACTATCTAGTAGCTGGTTCCCTCCGAAGTTTCCCTCAGGATAGCTGGCACTCGCATCGAACGAGTTCCATCCGGTAAAGCGAATGACTAGGGGTGTTGGGGACGAAAGAACCTAGAATGTAATAGTCAGAAACTCCGTGCTGATGCTGACAGACGAAAACATTAAAAACATTCCTTACTGAAGTGCTAAATGACATTATAAACATAAATTCACTGAACAGCTACCTAACCGGAGACTAAATATCCATTATGCAGAACTCAAGCTCACAGGGCAGGACAATAAAACTTCTTTTTCTAACTTATTATTTTTATTAAGGCTTTAGATCGATCCGCGCGACGCCAGTTAACACGTTGGCGCCATTGTTAATGTTCTTTATGTTATTCTACTTTTATGGAAATATACATTTATTAAGCGCATGTCAGCTGGCAAGTATCATTGTAAATATCATTTTATTTTATTTTCCTATACATATGTATTTAATAAAAGTATGGCTCAGTTAACACGTTGGCACCGTTGTCAATATTATTTCTTTCTCTCTGTTTGTTCGTACACACACACACATACACACACAAACACAAATACACACACACACATACATACAAACACAAACACTCCGGCACGGGGAGTGGATACACTTTAAATCCTTGTACGAGGATCGAGTGGAGGGCAAGTCTGGTGCAGCCGCCGCGGTAATTCCAGCTCCACTAGCGTATATTAAAGTTGTTGCGGTTGAAACGCTCGTAGTTTGACTTCTGCTCCGGACCGGCCGGGAAACCCTGGTGGAGGTCCGAAGCGTTTCTAACGTGCAAATCGATCGCCAGAGCTGAGTATAGGGGCGAAAGACCAATCCAACTATCTAGTAGCTGGTTCCCTCCGAAGTTTCCCTCAGGATAGCTGGCACTCGCATCGAACGAGTTCCATCCGGTAAAGCGAATGACTAGGGGTGTTGGGGACGAAAGAACCTAGAATGTAATAGTCAGAAACTCCGTGCTGATGCTGACAGACGAAAACATTAAAAACATTCCTTACTGAAGTGTAAATGACATTATAAACATAAATTCACTGAACAGCTACCTAACCGGAGACTAAATATCCATTATGCAGAAATCAAGCTCACAGGGCAGGACAATAAAACTTCTTTCTCCAACTTATTATTTTTATTATAGGCTTTAGATCTAACTTA